CCCCAAAACCCCAAAACCCCAAAACCCCAAAACCCCGCGTGTTCTATTAAGATGAAGATTAATGTAAAGATAATAATTAATCACAAAATCGTCATCATTTTTTCAGTAAGTAATTTTTTCATCCTTACAAAGCAAATAACAGTTGGAATTACTGTTAAATATGATAGGATAATTAGTAAATCAATTTTGATTCTGGTTATCATCGTTATTGCCAGGACCTTTACCAACTAAAGTGTTTCTCTTTGATTAGTTTTGGATATTTTGCAGGCCTTATGACAAGCCCTTGGCGAATCTTGATCCAACCTTTCCAAGTCCAATTTCATGAGCTTTCTTCTCTTCATCTGGAATCTTAAATGCGCTTAATGATGATTAAGAATCCTTTCTGCCAAGTTTCTTCATACCCCCTGCCGATGGATCAAGTTTTCTATAAAATGTCTAGAGCCTTTAATCATTCTTGGTATTATTCTCTTTAAGAATATGGTTGAAGGAATCTTAATTGACTTGAACTTAGTCAATTAAAGTTCTCTATGCGGCAATAATGACTTTTTCGATATTCTCTGTCTTCTTAATCAAAACTTCTTTTACTCCATTTAGTTTACTTTCCCATGCTTCTCCGTCAGCATCATCATTCTTATCCACCTTTGCAATATATAGATAGTCTCCCATCTAATCATGCTCTTTAAGTTTCTTTTGATAAACAAGATACTCGTTTTCAGATATCAAATCTGCAAAATTCTTGTACATCTCTTCAATACTGGTGCTTTCGACCCTGGCATATGAATCTGAAATAACAGCAACCAAAATGTTAAGCATCATAATTGTCAAGAAGAGAGTAGCAAATATGAATGCAATAAGAGCCAATAAAACATAAACACTACCGAGGTCTTCAGTGTCAAAGTCTCCCAAACTCATTCTATATGCGAAGAATACAGAGTCTAATAAACTTGAAATGAATCTACCTGGTTCTCTCAATTTCTCATCAATTAATTCGCATTTTGCATCACAAATTGGATTCATATTTGACATTATATACATAGAATTTCCAAATGCTGTCAATGTTACTATGAATACAACCATGAAAACTCTAAGATCACCAATAATTGCAACAATCATGCTAATGAACTTAGATGTCTATCTAAAGATTCTCCAGAAATATAAGAATTTGATCCACATAAAGAAACAAGCAACAGCATTTAAAGGTCTCTCGTAAATTGGTTCTAATCCGAGATTTTCAAACTGGATGGAGAAAGAGATAAGTACAAGAGGAATAACATCTAGGTAGTTCCAAGGATTGCCTAAATATTTGCCTAAACTCTAAACGAACATTTGTCTAACCTCAAGTGCAAAGAAATAGAAGGTGAATAACTAGACAATGATTTTGACAATCATCTTTTCTTTACTTAGCCAGAATTGCGGGTCTTTAAACTAGTCTAGATCCTCTATACTTCCTATTAATTAAGAGCCTGCTTCAAAAAGTAAAGTAGCAGCAGGGGTAGTAGTGTTTGCATCAGAAGTTTTATTCTTTTCGTCTTTACCTTCTTCTGCATTCTCGCTTTTCTCATGGAATACTTCAAAGATATACACAGTATAGTATAAGAATGACAGCAAGAATACCAAATAGGGATAGAATAAGTATTTCTTGATTCCGGCTTTGACAAGGGGCCATTTAATCTCAATCAAGGCTTGGATGGATTTATTAGAGAATATTTCAATACAATCTGTATCAGCTAATGCTTCTAGGAATTCATCTGCAACATTATTCTCATATTTGTGCAAATGCGGAAGGTCTAATAGTTCCATATTAAGTGGGACTTCAAGTACTTCAGGTTTATACAACTTACTCTATAGACTAGCGTCAAGATTTTCAAACCACATCTTATCAGCAGTCATTACGAAGTCACAATCATCACCTGTTTCAATTCTACCACGGGTATAATCACTAATCCATGAGGGTATTTTCAGTCTGCTATCTAAGTAAGTAGACATTCTTTAAGGCACTTAGCCAATCAAATCTGGGTAAATATTGAGAAGGAATCTGGAGTGATGATCAAAGTCAGTAAGCATTAGCGCTTGTACGAATCTGTCAGTCACTCGAGTATTATTTGTTTCTACAGATTCATGCAATGGAGTCTTACAATCCAAGTCTGGAATAAACAGAATCTCAGTCAACTCTATATCTTCATTCAATTCAATTTCTTCATTGTCAACGTTTGGATCACCTGCTTTTATTGTCTTTGTGACGATATAATCAATGAATTAATCTAAGACCTCATAATCTCTTCCAAGAATATGATAGATATTTTTGTTGTAAGGAAGAACTGTAAATGCAAGCTCGCATACATACTTAGTACTTAGATCTTTAAGATGAATCTTCTTTTCGGATAGCATGTTCAATATTTTCCAGTTCAAATAACTGAAGGTCAATTATTGTCTGTAGTTATTGATAATAAAGTGACTGAAAAGACTTGTGTTTTTATCTTTCAAGAATCTGCTGATTTCAAAGTGTTTATTATCACTCAAAGATGTCCTATATACATTTAGATGTAAATCCCTCTTAATGACATCCCCTCTGAATTTCAAAATCTCAGATGATTCCATTTGAGACGCTTAGGTGACGTTGAAATTCAAGGGATCTAAAATGAATCTTCTAATGAATGATTTCTCATTGTAGAATATATTTCCAACTTCAACTAATTCACACATGTGATTTCTTCTTCTGGTGCCAACGACAGATCTGAAATTAAAGAGCTTTTCTACTCCATGAATAGTCAAGTAAACGATATGATCATTGTCATGGAAATATATCATCGGATGGGTCTTTTCAATCTAGAATAAAAGCTGTTTCCTAATAGGCAGACTTTAAATGTTGGCATTGGTCAGAGTAAAGTTAAGTACAATCTCCTTAGTTGATGGATCAATAAATATCCTATGATGGAAATTAGGTGAGAAGTACATAGGTTTTCCAAGCTTCATCTGCTGTTCATAGAACTAATGCATTAATCTGTAGGTTTTTTACTAAAATCTACCTTCAAGCAGATACATTTTGGTACATTGCTCGTCCATTACAAGCAGATATGGCAGACTAATGTAAAGATTTACTCCATTCTTGAAAGGAAACTATATGGTGCAATGCTCTGCAACTTCATAAGGTGATATGATTTCTATGAGCTAATAGGTATGAAGATCTTTGCCTGTTTTGGTGCTTAACTTAATCTTCTCGTCGTTTGCCTTTTCACTTTCATTGTCATCATCGAAATTGTAGCTCAACATTGAATCATTTGGACTATCAACTTTCTACCTTGATTACCTCTTGATTTCAACTTATTTTTGCAACTTAAGTAAAACTTAACCGTTCCACTCTGTGTGTCTCATGTATTTTCCGAAAATCTGATCTTCAAGAACATGATAGTTAATGATCTTTCCAGTATCAGTGTTCCAAGTGACTAGAATATTTGGTTTTTTCAAAGCTATCAATTAGTTCCCAATTTCTTTCCAACATAAGAAATTTGCATCAAAATCTTATGAGGCCATTAGATCGATTCTATATCTGTCAAGCAAGGGGATAATTGATATTTCAAATGATGAAGTGAACAAAGCGATTCTGTTTGTAGTGATACTATATTCTAACTTAGAGCAAAATGCTCCTCTGCAATTAAAAACTTCAGTAGGTTAAGTCTCAAGATTTAATTCTCTTTGTATTTCTAGAGATACAAATCTGAAAATGTTGTTCTTATCCTTATAATAGACTGATTCCTCATGAGTCATATATATCTCTTTGATAGTCTTGTTGAAGTTAATTACTTGTAGTGCATTTTATTTCATTTTAAGATTCAAAACCATTAAATTTCCATCTTATTAGTAATATAGCTTATCATTGAAGATAAAGTATTAGATCTTGGATGATTGGTCATATTCTTGATCCTCCAATTTTTAAATTTGATACTTTTAAAGCTGTGCTGGATATAGGCATTGCTTAGCATTTGAGATATTGTAAATTGTCATTTATTTTTCAGTTTTAGAATAGATGATAAGCATATCACTTCTGGCATTAGGGATTTCGACTAGTTACCATTAGAATGTAACAGGTATTAAATCAACTAGTTTAGTGATTCTGCTTCCGTTTTCAGATACCCAAATTTGCTGAATTTGGTTATAAGTGTTCTCAATCATAAACAAAGTTCTAATAGTTGAGTCTCCGTATTGTCTGTAGTTCCTCACGTCAACATTTCTCTAGACCTAGAGGACATTCTAATTAACAAAGACCTTGCCCTTTTCAAAGTAAGTTTTATCGAGTTCATTGTAGTACTTGAGTCTATGAATGAACTTGCCTCGATATATGATAATGCAGTCATAGATACTATTAGAAAAGATGAAATTCAGTAACAGAGAATCAATTTCATCATCTGGCATGCCAAAGTAAGTTTGTGAGCTCTGGTTTAAGTTTCCTTGTTCATGAGGAAGCATGTGAGTCCATTACTTAGTCAAGAAGTCATAGATGCTGAGCACTTTTGAATGACTAATAATCAAGGTAGTGTTAGCGATCAAGAAGTCATTGAAAGTATTCAAGTGAAGAGTCATATCTTAGATTAAGGATACTTCATAAGAGTAATTAAGCGCTTAACCAATGAGAGTTCCATCAGTATTTTTTATCTAGGCAATATTTGTTCTCTTGATTTCTCCATAAGCATTTTCGAAATAAATCTACTATCTTCTGACAAAGTATCTATTAACTTTGAAGTAATTTTGTTTGAGATCTCTGAACACGAAATTCTTTACAGCTTCTAATGCTTGATTCCCAGAGGGTAATTTTTGCTTTCTTTTTGTCTAGATAACTTCCTCTTCCCCTTTACAGTATTTTGTGAGTCTATAGCAAAGCTTCTTTTTCCTCTCTTCTAATTCAGCCATTCTCTTTAGTTCTTCCTCATCATCACTAGATTCTTCTTCTTCTACTCCTTGTCTGATTGAATTTTGATAGTCGATCATCATTTACTGAATATCTCTTGACATAATCTTGCACTCTCCAGATGTCTTTACGATAACTAGAAGGTTCTCCTCATCAGCATAGTTTTCAAGAGTAATTGTAGAGATCTCCTCAGATATGCTGACTTCAGCGAATTGTTTTGTAAATTGAAGTTACTCAATCAAATCAAAGTTCTAAGGGTTATTTCCTACTTTTACTGGGTTGAGTTTCATGACTCTGATGTTGACCTCAGTTTCAAGAACAATGTGAACCTCTTTTCTGAGGAATCCTTCATTTGAAATATCAAAGACTTATTTGATATCTTCAAGATCATCATCATAGTTGCAGTTATCAAAGACACTTACATAGTCAAGCTCTTGTACAAGTAATTGCAACTCTTTAATCTCTTTCTCTTCTCCTTCTTCTTCAATTGCATCGTACTCTTGGTTCATTTTACTACCTAATTATTGCTTGATTGGACTATTAGTAGTTAAGATACTCTCTATCTTCAGAGAAGCCCACATGATTTTATGACCATCTGTGATAATTACCTACTTAGGGTCCACATATACAGCTCTTTCGTGGATACCATCAATGTTATCTCCTGAGCTAAATGGATTGTTTATCTTTTGGAATATGCTCTGATAGAAGTTTGACACATAGAGATATTTACTCTCCTCATTATGTCCTTTCAAAGAATAGATGAATCTCTGTTAAGTCAAGAAGAAGTGGTTTGGTTAATCTATATTAAGGTGTTAAGATTCAAGCAAGATTAGACATGTAATAGCATCATAATATCCCATAGGATTAGGGAAGTAGAATTGAGGGAAAGATACATACCTTGATGTACGGCCTAAAATATCTTTTGCTTTTTAGACCATTACTGCAGCAAGAACTGACCTCCGTAAAAACTTTTGAGCTTCTCACTCATGATTTCAAATACAATAATCACGTACTCATCTTCAATAGATGTTACTGGAAGTACGTGCACGTTCAAGCATTTGTACACAGCCTCTATTAGCAAAAATTAAGATTATCAGAAAAAATTCAATTGATTATATGAGGGGAAATGGATGAAACAATAAAAGCTTTCCTTAACTTACCAAAAACATTGATCTTTTAGGTGATACTCTCAAGGAATTGCTCAGGAGTTGAGTAAAGTTCCTCAGGCTCTAGAGGCTAGTAGCCGATCGTCGATTTGAAGGTATTATTTTTTTTCAAATTGGCAAACATTTTGCAAAAGCTTTTTTTAATTATTAATGCAAGTAGTAGTTTATATTAATTGAGTAAGATTTAATAGGGGCACTATCAAAATGCTTCATTAAAATATATAATTTTTCGCTTAACTTATTAATTTAGATAGTTATTTAATGCTTTTAGCCATGGGATCGCGGGGTTTTGGGGTTTTGGGGTTTTGGGG